TACTCTCCGTATTTTTCACAGGGACAAAAAGTCTGAGTGATATATTCATTGCAGTTCCTCCTGAAGTAAGGACTTACGCAGATGGCAGAAGACTTAGCAATCATGACTCATTGCACTTATTTTAAATAAAGATGAAAAAATATGAATTCTCCAGTCTTTTCCTCCTATATAGTCAACATATAGGAATAAAATCACTGTGTTATTTTCATCTCAACTAAGATAATAGTGCCTACTTGAACCTGTAATGTTAAAAGAAGTCATATCCTAAGCTAAAAGTAGAATGATTGGCTTTAAGTATTTCAAATAGATATTAATATTATCTATAATATTTGGGAATAGTCAAATGCAGTTCAGCAACCATTTCACCATTTAAATAAAAACAGGTAGCCCGGAATAAATCTACAGGTTTTAATATTATATTTAAAAGTAGAAAGTTTAAAAGACTTTCATGTGAAAAGGTTAAAGGGAGAAAGGTAGAAAGATCAAACATTTGAGTAAACCTGTCTATATTTTTTGTTATGTAAATGAGCCTTATAGCGTCTATATGACAAATGTAGACTATTTCATTTTAATATATATGTATATTTATTATATTCTGTAATTATATCGTGTAGGTTACAGGAGTGTTTGGTAGATAATAAGACAGTATGACTGACTGGTCGAATAACCTCACAGAAGAACTGAGGTTTGAAAACTGTGGCCCATGTTACCACCGAAGAAAATAACTTGTTTTGCTGTGAAGCTCCCCATTCTCTGCTTGAAGGGAAGGAGAAAGGGCAGAAACAAAAGAGCCTCCTCAGGTTAGCCATTTTCTTTGAGTTGATTCACACTTTAAGTTCGCTATGAAACTTGTTACCTCTATACAAATGTTCTTTTGTCTCTTCCTTCTCCAGAGGAAGTACGGGAGTCACAGGCACACACATGCTAAGACTTAGAGGCCTTCCGGCCCATCTGTGCTGCTTTGGCCAGAATTGATTTCCCCCAGGTGAGATGTGGTTCACTGGATCTTGCCTCTGAGAAGACTGACACAGCATTCTTCGAGTCTGGTCCTAGTAATTTATTTTCATTGTTATATGGGACCAGCTGCATCTAGAATAGTTTACCCTTGAGAAGTTTCTGCTTCCCGCTGTCATTTCACTACATTTCAGGACCTTCTCATCACTAGTTCTCTTAGTTACCACATTTCTCTTGACTATTATGACTATTTACAAGTGATGTTCACAAAATGGAGTGGAGGTATTTGCTGAATGCCGGACACAAAGAAACTAAAAGGGAGAACGGGACACAGTTCAACGGGATATAGTCTATTATGAAGGGGGAAGTATGGTGTTACAGCAGCTCATGGATGTGGCAGATGTGATTCACATCTGGATTCATCAGGAAGTGGAGAGGGGAATGTTGGCACTCATGTGGCTTTCTTCTTTTCCTTACTTTGTTCAGTATGGGTCGTCACCCTAATGGTGCTCCTACATTTATGATGTGTCTTCCCTCCTCATTTAAACCCACACAATGTCCCTGCAGACATGGCTGGAGGTGTGTCTCCCAGGTGATTCTGAATCCAGGAAATTTGACAATGATGATTAAACACTGAGGGAACAATAGTCAACAGATGATACCCGTGCTCAGCAAAGAGCATCCCAATGTCTCGGGTCATTCATGTTTAATATCATAGAAGTATCACAAACCCAGTGACCAATTCACAACAGACAAATGTGTCTCTTAGTTTTGGAGACTAGGAAAACCAAGTCAAGACTAAGAGTCTTCAGCATTTTGTGAGGGTAAAATTTTAGATTCATTTGGTGATTTTCATGCAAAGGCCTCACTAAAGAGAATTCTGGTCTCTTTAATCCTTTCTAGGGATAGTAATCTCGTATGCTGAGAGCATGCCAAACCCTTATGTGTTACCTTCCACAGTCTCTACAAATGCTATCACATGGAGGATTAGGTTTCAGCCTGAAAACTTGAATGAATAAACTCTCTGTGTGTAACATACAGTGAGGATGTTTTCAGCTTGGTGACAGGAAGCTCCCTAACAACAAACACTCTCAAAACAGGAGCCTTCCGCAATAACAGCATCATGGGTGGAGACATTCAGACAGAAGGAACAGGACTGTCCTGCTGCTAAAGTCTATGTACTATAGTGAATGGGGTATGGGTCAGATGGTGATGACCTGTCAGATCAAGACCTGTTGGAAGGTCAGATGACTCAGCAGGACTGAAGCCCTGAGCCTGGTGGTTAACGTCACTAAGCCTCACTGGTTTGGTAAGCATATCTTTGCCTATTCTTTGAGCCAATTCTTAACCAGCAAGTTTCTTTCTGACTCTGTTGTCAAGCAAGTGTTAATGTATGTTTGCTGACTGTCACTGCTAATTTACTGTTCTGTACTGGATGAGGCTTGGGGTATAGTGGATTTTAGGGAAGAAAATGAAAAAAAAAATAGCTTTCTTATCCCTTTGTGCTTGTAGTCCTGGCAAAGAAAAAGATCAGACTAGCTAGAAGCAGAAGAGGTGAACCAGGGGACAAAGAGCAGATGGAATGTGATAAGGGCACAGAAAGGCAGATTTGCTGGAAACACAATGCAATGTCAGAATATTAAGGAGATAGTAGAAGAGGTAGAAAGAGAGGGAAAGCAGGCAGGAGAGGGAAGAAGGGAAAGACACACACACACAGATCTCCAACAAAGAAATTAGATAATCAGGGAGAGATCATGAAAAACCAAAAGATACAAATACAAAGGAAGGGAGCCATAAACAATTTTGGTTTGTTTGGTTTGTTTATGTAGCCAGTTTGTTCCCCTGAGGATCTTTTTTCTGGAGAAAAGCAGGGAGAGAATGTTGGTTGATGCACTGACTCGCTCTTCAAAATACATCCCTGCAGGTCACCCCGGAAGTGCATGCTCTCCCACAGGACTGCCTGGTGCTCTATAGAAATGTGTCCTTCCTTCTGTTTCGTCAAGTCACCAAAACTGCCCTCAAGTCTGGCAAAAGCTTTGTGGTACAACTATGACTTTATGGTTAGAGACTTTCTTTCTTTCTTTCTTTCTTTCTTTCTTTCTTTCTTTCTTTCTTTCTTTCTTTCTTTCTTTCTTTCTTTATTTCTTTCCTTCCTTCCTTCCTTTCTTCCTTCCTTCTTTCTCCTTCCTTCCTTCCTTCCTTCCTTCCTTCCTTCTTTCCTTCCTTCCTTCCTTCCTTCCTTCCTTCCTTCCTTCCTTCCTTCCTTCCTTCCTTCTTTCCTTTTAATTGGCTCTTTGTGAGTTTCACCTCATGCACCTCAATCACACTAATCTCCCCCTACCCCTGGCCCTGCACTCTACCCTTGTAACTTCTCCCACAACATAGAAAAAATATATCATTGTGGAAGCTGTAGTGTGTCACAGTGTCCCACAGTACACCCTTTTGTCCATATTTCTTTGCTTCCAGCTGTTCATTGTAACAGGTCTTTGGACCAGTACATGGCCTCTGGCTTCTGCTACACTATCAATGCTGGAACCTCACTAGGACTCCTCTAGGATATCCTATTGTTTCCCTGTGTCACGGAGATCTCTGTAGAATGGGCTGCTTCACACACTCCAGCAGGTAATCAATAGGATCAGTGTTGGCGTGGGCTAATTCAAAGCCCTGGCTCTGGGACTGAGACGTATCTGAGCTCGTCAGCCTACCAGATTTCCTGCACCCACACAATAGGGGCAACTTATGCTCTGCCCCAACAGGTTAATCCAATGCTGCCCCATAAAGGGCCAGAGCCAGCTCTCCTTTTTTCATATTCTCAGGGATGTCTCATCTGTGCCCATACCATTATGGCCCACTCTGCTCCACTGTCTCCGCAAGGTGCAGGGCCTACTCTCCCAAGTGCTGCAGGAGGCAAGAGACAGTTTCCCCACTCTCATGACCCCATGGTCAGCTGTCCCACCTGCCATAGGTGGCAAGGAACAAGGGATGGGAAGAGGGCATCTTTCCCTTGACCATGTCACCATATAGCAGACAAGAATCAGGGTCAGCTCTCATGTGTTCACTCCCTTTGGGCCACAGTCCCCATGACCAGGGAGCTCTACTCTGCTTCCCAGGCAAGGTTCTGGGCCTATTAAGAGATGCAGCAAGAGGGGCATCTCTTAGTATTAAGAGGGGCAGGGCCAGGTGTCCTGCTCTCATCCCCCAGAGCCAGGTCTTCCGCCCACCACAGGTGGTGAGGTGTGAGGATAGAGGAGCATATCTCTCCTTAATTCATGCTACTGCACAGGAGACCAGTGGCAAGCCATCTCTCGCACACTCATACCCTCAGGGTTGACTCATCTGTAACTCCTGAAACCAGGGCCAGTATTTCCTGGGCGATGTGTGGGCCACTCTCCAGAGTGCTAGCTAAGTGCAGGGTCAGCTCTCTTGCTCTCCTGCCCTCAGAGATATCTCTCCCACAATGTCCAGGGGAGGAGTGGGGCCAGTTCTGCACAGCCCTCAGATATCAACTTGTCCCCAGGTGGCAGCACAAATGAGAGACAGCAGCTTGGCCTTTAGTGATAACAGACTCCCACTGCTTCAGGGTCATGGAACCAGACATGGCCCCCAGTGACAACACAGGCCAGGAACCCACTATGGTTCTAGGTGGTATCACTGGCTACTCACATCAGAATATTCTTTACTTCTCTTGAGTCTCCAGTTCTGCCTCTCTTCATTGTGCTCACATCTGTCTGTTTCTTCATTGTGCTCACATCTGTCTGTTTCTCTTTTTCTCCACCACTTACTTGCTCCTCTTAGTGGTGCCCAGGGTCTCTGAGTGTCTGAGGTTGAGGTGTCTGAGGTTGTCTCAGGAGTGCTATGCCCCTGCCTGTGCATTATGGCATGAGGCAAGGTTCACCTCAGTCTTGTCTCTGTCTCGCTCCCAACCCTGGGAGTCCATACAGGCCTGCATGATGCTGGCTGGACTGGTGCTCATCTAGGGTAGCCCCCTGTCCTGGCTCCCTGGCTCCCGAGTGGTGGTGGCCTCAGGGTTGCTTCTTTTTTCAGGGCGTGTTGGACCACTAACCATCTAAATGTTTACAAGTCAGAACACTAAGCGTCGACATGGCCTCTCTCTCTGTGCCATCTACGGACTCACAGGACACAGCAGCTACACCTGAGATGCGTCTAGGGGCAGGGCGTAGACATTTCTCCATCTCCAGTTATTCTCTAGGCCAAAGAGCATACGTACATCTCGATGCTAGTGGCGGGGCTGCACTCATTTCTATGACTAGAAAGCAAAATTTAAAAAAATATATATTTATCGTTATGCTTACAGTAATTAGACTTACTGGCTTTGTTTTTGTTTGTTTGTTTGTTTTTGTTTTTAAACAAAACAAACAGGTAAGTATGCTTTTGTGTAGTTTTTGGCTTTCAGTAGCTTTTTATTAAGCAAACAAACCCAAGACAAATCCTTTCTAAACATCAGTTATAGCCTAAGCGCTGGCGCTAGGCTAGACAACAGGGGAGCAGCTGTAGCTCTCAACAGAAGTGCAATTTCTGATCGAAACATCCCAACTCAAGAAGTCATAGTTTTAAAACTCCGAGATTTCTGTTGTCTCTCTTGTCTTCATGACTCATTAATGACATCTTGTTAAATGTCTTATCTATCTCTTTTGTTCTGCAGTCTTTGTATTTCTCATCAGATTCTCCGACACATGGACCTGTGCTAAAATAAAAGCCATCAATGTCCTTGTGCTGTATTTATAGGCACAGAGGTGTTGCCATGTGTTACTATGCAAGTGATCACTCCCCACTTTCATCAAGCTCCTCTCATCACTTATGTGTGGCTCGATGTGTAATGCCTTTATTGTTTCTTGGCCTAAGGAGACTGTCTTTTCAGCTCATTAGTACAATATATCAGCAAGTATTAAGAGCTTTGCGGTGCACAAGGAGTGGTTTTTGTTTGTTTTTTAATAAGTGGGTCTTTTCACGAATATTGACAACTTTTGAATGTTCAAGTAAGAGAGATAAAGACTAAGTTTTCTGAGTTAAGGCGTAACACAAATAAAACTGATTAATCGTGGGGGGGAGAACTTGTTTTTGCACATTGTTCACAAAGTATCTTGGCTGTCAGTTTTGGATTAAATGCGAACCTTGAGCAAAGGGTTTAAATTCATTTACTCCTGGCAAAATATGACTTCCTGCTTCTAAGAATAAAGGCTTGAAAAGTCTTATTAAAGGAAGGCTCCAAAAAGACTTCTTAACTTCAAACAGGTCTTACAAAACAACGCTCTGATGAGTTAAGTGCACATGAATTAGAAGCATATGTATTAAATTTCCCTTAAAATACACATGGGTTTAAAAATTAAGGGTGGGAGGGAGTCTTGGCAAAAATCTATTTTAGGTTTGCCTAAATCCAAACCATTTGAAAAGTAATGCTAAGAAATGAGACAAAAGACTGATTAAAATTCTTAAACAGTTAGGAGAATCAAGGGTGGCTTTTTTCTTTTCAATAATTTAAGCTTGCTTCAATAAGAAATGCTGAATTTATTTAAAATAACTTTTTTTCTAAAATGAAGGGAAATCTGCCTGGGAGCAAGATATGTTTTCTGAAAACTCCAGATCCTTGAGAAAAAGTTGGAAGACCTTGACAGTCTTAAATAAGGACAGACAGGCTGGAGAAGAAATGGCGTTCAATTCTGTGATTTGAGCTGTGACTTTTATCCTGCTTCATTGCTTGCATCCAACCAGAAAAAAATAAAGAACAACAACGGAAGTCCCACTTCACTCTTGTCTTAGTCTCACCCATTGGTGTCATTTATGTACAAAAACACACACACACAGAGACATCGAGAGACAGACAGAATGAGAGAGAGAGAGGACTGAGAACTCACTGGATAACTAGCATTTGTTTCATGTGTGTCTGGCTTGCATATACAGAGAAAAAAGTTTGACATTGAATGTACCAGGGCTACAGCACTCACTCAGACAGAAAGGCAATAAATCATGGAATGTGACTGATTTGTTTGATATAAAACTAAAACAAAACAAAACAAAACAAACAAAAAAAAAAACAAAAACCTGAATTCAGATTAAAATTTCAGTAAATCCTTTCTTGAGAGCCTGATATTTTTTAGTTCCTACTCTGAACAATTCTGACAGGTTCCTCTTACTAGGTACCAAAGTCTTTGAATTGTCATTCAAATGCTCCCCACACAGAACTCTGAGCCAGAGTCAGAGGATCTCCCTGAGCTTTGTTAGTCACTCTGCATAGTGACTACTGCAACAGTGCATCGCCAAACAAAATGGAACAACAACAATCTTCAAGGTGAGATGGAAAGCCATTTCATAGAAGGCTTCCAATCAGAACATTTACAAAAGTGTCATGTTCATGTGACTTGATTTCTCTTGTTTTGGTGGGATGGTAGACAAACCAGAAATAGGTATCTGTAAGGAGCTGCAGTGTTAATGTCTACTTTAGTTCAGTTGGTTCCATACCTTTGTTACACTATTCATTGTGACAAGGACCTCGTTAAAAAGATAAATGGAAAGTTGAACTCACGTGACTATAGGTCCATTTTTTTTGGGCCTGATAACTAAACACATAAGCTTTGATTCAATGCTAAACTTAATGATTAATACATGCCTGGGTTCAAATATAGCATCTATGAGGTTTAGTGGTAGTGTAAACTTGAACAACTTACATCATCTCTTTAATCCAGTTTCTAAATTGTTAAAGTGAGGTTATCATTAATTTTCCCTGCAGACTTGATGTGGATTAGTGTAGGATCTAGAATTTAGTACACAGGACTGTGGTGTCTTCCATTAATATTGAGATTATATGGGGATATTATAATTATATAGAGGAACATATAGAATACTTATATGGAAGAATAATAGAATGGAAGACATGGTGTGGGCTTGCTTTTCAGCAGAGGGGCAGTAAAGGACTTTTTATGCTGTAGTGTGCTACCCAAAATATAATAGCTTATGACTATTGAATACGTATTATACATCTGTGGGTTGTCTGTGCCCTTCTCTTTTGTGGACTAAATCATCTGCGGACAGATGGTGTTGAAGGAGCTCACTCTTGTCTGGAGCCTCAGTTGAAGACTTGAGAGAGCTGGCATGATCAATTATTAATATATCTTGGCTAAAAGGGAACTGATAAGTAAAAAGAAGCAGACATATTCTAAAGCAGATTGTTAAAAATGAACATTCTTGTATGAAATGATAATTAGTCTGAGTCATTTTAATTTAGGTGCTTCACATTATCTCCCTTCCTACACATTTGGAGAAGACCTGTCTTAAAAAGATGGACTGAGTTGTCCTAGTGAGAAAGAATAAGAGTGTCCCATGGATGAATTAAGATACAGTAAGAACAGATGTGAACATGGATCCTGGGATGTGGAAGGAGATAGCAAGGTGGAGAACAGAAAGATAAAGGAGAAGAAGGAACACAAGGAAGTTTTGGGAAGAAACTGGATGATGGAACTGAATGGAAGCTCCACAGGCTGATCATGTTTTCTGAGACTTGTGATTGTGATAGAACTTGAGCCTGTAAAATTAATGCTACAAATAAGAACAGCCATAAATATAAGGCTTATTGCATAACAACCTTTCCATATTAACTCAATAGCCAGCGCTTGCTGAACTCTTGGGTGAGTCAGGAGTTCGCTGGCTTAGCCCTACTGGAAGGCAGGCATTGAAGGTTTTCTACTTACTCACGTGCATAAGCCCCAGGGTCTAATAAATGCTCTCAATCACTGAGAAAGCAATCATGTTTTGTTGTGACTTGGACAGGAAGGGATCAATAGCCCTCTAACATGTTCATTATGTTTAATATTTTATGCATATGTAAGATGACTGATCATCTGAACTGGTCGGACGTGATTACTCATCTCAAGTTCTGCTCATGGCCTGCTTGTTTGCAAAAGGGCTTTGTTATTAAGAAGTGTAATGAAGTACTCTAGGTTTATTTTCAGCCATAAAGAGAAGATCCATTCAATTCTCGAGAGCTTTGAAGATGCTGAAGGAGGTAAATATCTCTGCTGGCCTACAATACCTGACTATCTATACCTGAGATGTTTCCAATATAGTAACTCTAGTACATTCTAATGTTAAGTGTTCACTTGTGAGTCTCTGAAAGACAAAAACTAAACAGAAAAAAGAAATTTGAGCAAAAGCAGTGGAATTCAGCAATATTTTATTTAACAGAGTTAGGCAATGACTCTCATTAGGACAAATCTGTGATATTCCTGCTGAATTCAGAAGTTTCTCCCATTATCGTTCTCCACTGCTGACCTTCGTTACATCCTGAGGACTGCAGCACTGATCGCTCTTCAGAAGGTAGTCAAATAGCATCTTCAAAGGTTAGATTGCTGTTTCTTCTAATTTAGACCCATTTCTTCCTTTTTTCCCAGATGCTTTCCTACTTACCTTGGCTACCTTTGTTGCTGAAGATTTCATTAAGCTCTTTCTCATCCTCTTCCTCTGTAAGAGGTCCCAGGCTCTAGGGTTCTAACCTCTCCCTGAATTTACTGTTTACATTCAACTTTACCAGCATCAGTACACTTACAACTCTTTTCCCTCTCCATTACAAAAGTGCATTTTATAAACAGAGGATCCAAGTCAAAACAACCCTGAGATTCCACCTTACACCCATCAGAATGGCTAAGATCAAAATCTCAAGTGACAACACATGCTGGAGCGGTTTTGGAAAAAGAAGAACCCTCCTCCATTGCTGGTGGGAATGTCAACTTTTACAACCACTCTGGAAATCAATCTGGCACTTTCTCAGACAATTAGAAATAGTGCTACCTCAAGATCCAGCTTTACCATTCCTAGGCATATATCCTAAAGATGCTCAAGTACATAACAAGGACATTTGTTCAACCATGTAATTGCCAGAAGCTGAAACAACCAGATGTCCTTTAGTTGAGGAAAGGACACATTCCTCAATTGTGGTACATAATGGAATACCATTCAGCAATTAAAAACAAGGAAATCATGAAATTTGCAGACAAATGGTAGAATCTAGAAAAGATCATCCTGAGTGAGGTAACCCAGAAGCAGAAAGACACACACGGTATATAATAACTTCTAAGTGGATACTAGACATATAAGATAGGATAAACATACTAAAGTCTGTACACCTAAAGAAGCTAAACAAGAAGGAGGTCCCCAGTGTAAGATG